TGACTGCTTGAAAAATTTGCGAATTGTTGAAGAAGCAGTTCAATGAGGACTAATACAACGGTGAAATGTTTCACTATGGTTTAATCAACAACAACTGTTTCAACCTGAACTATTTTGACAGCTCTCAGTATTCCGTAATACTTCTTTCGGTTTCAGTCATATAGCCTAATCATCAATCCGCTGACTGCATAAAGTGATGCACAAATTATTTAACATTTTAAATTAAGCGTTTGCTATGAATATTTTTAATTGATCTATAAATGTTAAAGTCTTGATTAGCTTTCCTCTTGCTGTGTGTTCTGTCGACTTTCAGCACGGATTGCAGCTAATCTTAAAAAATACGGCTAATCCTGCTTTTCAAACTTAAGCTAATCCAAGTTCTAGATACTTGTATACCTTGTTACAGTTATTCACTATCTTCATTTTTCTTCTTCCAGAAGTTAAGCAAGAGAAGATTACCAGCAATAAAAAAGAATGTATATTTTTGATAAACTAGACATAATTTGTTTACAGATAAATATGTTCCTGGCCGTTATTAATCAAATATTTGTGTTGTCTTTCAGTGAATCGTTGATTTAAAGAATATCTGCTAAATTCCATTAAAGCAAAAAAGTTTTTCCGGTTGACTAAGGTCATCATCTGTATTATAGAGTTTTAACTTGTAAATCTAATTACTTAGCTGTTTCTCAGTTCACCATTAAACATCTGCGTGTACATATTTAACTGTTATCTTTCTAATTCTAAAATTTTTATTAATTTCTTATTTATAACTGTTCTTCAAAATAATTCTGCAAACTAAAATGTCGTAGTAAAATCGATTTCAATTCACAACCACCTCAAAACTACTTCAGCAAAACTAAACTTTGTTTAAACTTATTCATCAATGCAGGACCAACGTGTTTGGCCATCTGGGTAAACTCAGTTAGCTAAGCATAATGATGGTTTTAAATAAATATACAGCTGCTAGAACTTTCTTTTCCTTTGCTAGATCACTTTATAACAACCAAGTTAACTCCAGTCAACAAGCAGTTTATTTCAAAAAGGAGAACGATTTATTTATTTTATTTTATTTTTTTTTTTTGTAAACCTCCTTACAAATCTACTTTCAAAAAACAAGTACAAAGACGTGTTGAACAAAGTTTTTCCACTTATAATACTGTTCTTAGATTTAACCATTAATTTTTCATCAACTTCAAACGCTAATCTGCAGCGGATACAGAAAGATTAAAATGAGCAGTTTTATCCGTTTAAACATTCAAATTTATTTGAAAAGACCGTTTCCGCAGTTTTTCAACGCGGTTTTTTTGCATTGTAGTTCTTCATTTTTGAGCACAGTAGATTTTTTTGAAAACCAAAAAAAATTCCACTTTATTTTTACGTGTTTGTTTCTCGCTGTCCTACCAATCTATGATTCACAGTTGTTTACGGTATGAAAACACACGCTAGAAATTATGCTATACTCTTATTAGACCTAATTTACTAGATTTTTTCTTACTAGGCTTAAACAGATAGTTAAAAAAGGGCTGTTAAATCTAAAAGAAATGAACAGACTACATAAAAAAAAGTCATATCCAATGCATAATATTATCCTAACAAAAACAGATTTTGACTTTCCAATGCTACATATTCTTGCAGCTATCAAAGCCTCCTACTTTAGAAAATTCTTGAAAAGCATTTGTTTAATTAGACAGCCGATGCGTGCACACTTTGCAAAGCCTAAAACTCCGATTTTTGACTTCATGTTTATATCCCACTGAGATTCGCACTCCTACCATCTTATCTTAACCAATCGCCTACTAATTTAATCTGCCATACTGTTACTGCTAATTGCAGAAGTCTTTAGCCAACGGGCATTCGCTTCACAAGATAATAACAGTGTTGCTGACCAAAGCAGCTAGCTGCTTTAATATTTATTTGGTTCTATTCTCCTTTGAACAAATTTCCTAAAAAAAAAAAAGAAAAAAAAAGTCGGACTACTCATTACATGAATATGAGTTGTCATTTCGAGTTTAGTTAAAATAGATCTATAGAAGACATTCCTGTCAAGCTTCAAGTCTTGTCAGTACAAAAGTAGATTTGAAAAAACAACGAGGCTACTGTGGTTCAATGGTCGAAATTAAAATTTAACGTAATAATCAAAAATTCAATTTTTCAATCGCATTTTCTGCGTCTTCCTTTTCTTTCCTTTTACTCTGCACCAAGCACTTCCTGCTAACGTTATCAGTTTTCTCCGTCTAAAAATCTAGGCTAGTTTGTACCTTCTGGGCTTTAATTGCTACAGTTTAATTTATGTTCTTGATCTTTGTACCTTTGAAAAATGATTTTGATACACTTATTTATTACCTAAAGCAACCACATCTAAGATGAGTAAAATTTTGGTTTGTACCGCATTCCAATTTTTGAAAAACAGCTGAATTTTCAGTATTGATGATAAGAAAAAACAATAGCTTAGACTACTCTGTGGCAAACTTAAGTTATCTTGAGACTGTTCTCTTTCCCTCTTTTCAATTTTTTCCCCAAAACAAGTGATTTCAAAATATGCAGGAATTTAGTACTTTGCTATCCGTTTCAGCAAATTTGTGACTTTTAAGCAATGATGAGTTAGAATTTTTGATCTAGGTCGCTTAGGGAAATTGTATTAACAGCAAGAAGTCAAAGAAACTTATTTCGTTTTTTTTTTTGTCCCAAAATAAGTAATTTTAAACTATGCAAGAATTTTGATACCTTTCATGTTTTGGTTCTATAAATAATAAAGATGAAAAAATTTTTTGTTTCATAAGAAAAAATCCTAATTATAAGAGCGGAGTAATTATTAAATAATCACAGACGGATGAGCAATTTACAAGCGCAGAACCAAAATGTAAATGAGGCACATCTCAAGAATGAACCACGGAGAAGTGCTCCGGTTATATAGCAAAGCCAAAACTGCAATATAATATATTTCAGATCCATATTTATAGCCTCACAATGCGGACAACTTTCACCAACTTCATGAGCTAATACTGTTCAGCGTGAAACAACAAAAAAATGCCAAAGTTTTACTTGCCTTTCAAAATCATGGCCCATAGTCCAAAAGCATTAATATTTAAACGAAACAGTTACTTTACTGAGAACGCACAGAAAATTTAGCTACTTTAAAGTTGCTCTCAGAAAATACCTATAATTTTTATAGCAAGAAAGCTTTACTATCTGTATAAAGCTCATTGTGATCATACTATTGCAATTATTTCAGAACTCTACTCGACATGATAAGTGATACAGCAGTGAACAATGAAAGTCATCATGTCAGTAAAAATTGTTACAAACTTTAGTGATTAGATGTAGGAAGGACAAGAGGTGAGGCAGACGGGAATTGGGACGAGGCTATTCCAAGCTAGATTTTCAATTATTTTTTTTTTAAATTTTTTATCTAGTTAATCCGTACAAATAAATTTTAGAGATATTTCTTTCAATTAAGTATTTTTTTTTTTGCTAAACCAATTCCCCTGAAGTATTCGTCATCTTCTTCAACTATTTTTGTTTCTGCATTTTAAACTTTTAACAAAGAAACCTTATAGCTTTCTAGTATGTTTAAATATCTACAAAAAAGCTTAAATTTTTTTTAATGCAATATTTGTGACACTTATTTCTAAGAAAGTTATTAACCCTAACATTGCGAACTAACTGTGCAACATTTACTAGCGAGTAACCTTCTGTTCAATTTTTTAAACTTTTAATTAAATTCTACAAGAAAGCCAATTAGTAGCAGCTCATAGATAAACTGTCACTAAAAATACTCGATTTTTTGATAGACAGCAATCGACAATGTTGACAATTTTGTATTTTTCACTTTCTTTTCTTCCTAACTCTAACAAAATTATATAAAGGAGTTGATTACAAGAACAGTAAAGGAAAACAGCTCACATAAAAATGAACAACTGATACAGAGATAAGCCTCAGTCAATGTATACGCAATTTGGTATCAAGCTACATAAGAGGAAAAAACACTTGAATTCCCGCAATAGAATACTTTGGTCAATTGCCAGCATTTTTGAAAAATTCTGCTGAAATTGTTTACAGATATTTGTTGTATAAATCATATGGAAGGCGACAAAGATTATTAGGAAGTAGAAAGGAAGCTAATTCTTGGTATGGTTCCAGTAAAAATGGCAACTCATAAAAGGCTTTGGCAGTACAATACAGTGTGGTCCGTATGGGTTGTGGAGTTACCGTTGTGGCATCGCCTGTAGTCAGAAAACAAAACAACTGATAGTTTCTGTGTGCAGTAGTTTGGCTGGACTTTAACGATGAAGGCATTGGCTCGATATACATTGTCGTTCCTAACCATGATTCTCTTCGTAATTTTCTTTGTAGTCTGCCTGAGACGGTACAGAACAGATGAGAGTTTAACAGTTCAGCAGCATCAGTCATTTCTGGATCAGTTCGATATCTTCTCAGCTCTCCAGTATGAAAATGGTGCCGAAGATTTTGAGTATGCGTGTTTTCGTTTCTTTTTGCTTGCAAATGCTAAATTTCGATTTTGCTAAACAGCCGACTGTGTCATGCATAATTCTGCTGTGAAATTCCAGAAAGGCTAGGTGGAATCACACTTTTGCAGTTTAGTGACACCATACACGATAGATTTCCAGTAGACAGGTCTCCTTATTCACTAACGAAAGTGTAGAAGCGAGGAAGAATTGAGTGGAATGATAAGCTCATAAGCTCAAAAAAAAAGTTTACTTAAAAGAGAAAGTTTTCGATTATGACACCTGATTTGAGGTAATTAATTTTTGGTTTAGCGAGAGTGAATCTCTCAGGTTAGAAGGAGTGGTTCTTCGGACGTTTCTGCTGAGCTCCCCTTTTACGATACCGAAGGTTAAAAAACTTTGTACTGAGTATCTTGGGAGTCATTGACACTATTCGCTCATGTACTGCATGTGGCTCTAAACTAGGAAAGTCGCTATTGAACTTTGCTAGTTAACTGTGGAGTTCGACTTTGTTTCAGGATTTCGAAGTGCTCGATGGCAAGGTGCTTCAATTTGTCACGGTGTCTGCTCAAAAAGCAGTTCAAAGTGTATCTTTATCCTACAAATAATGTTTCTACAATTTCAGTGGTGTATGCTAACATCTTACAAGTACGAACAGTTTTTATCCTTTTTTTTTTTTTCGGTTGTCGTTCCACCTTTGAAAAACTAAGTTATTAGTAATTAGATTGGTGCATGAGTTAAGATGAATTTTAGGTTTTGAGAGAAAGTTCGTATTATACTGAAGATTACCATTCAGCATGCGTCTTTATTCTCGGTATAGATACTACTGATCGAGATAGACGAAGGCACGTGGCGTTTTTTATTTCTTTTCATTTTTATGTTTTGTTTTAGCAAGGTCCCATCAGTGCTTTTTTGTCCCTTATATCTAAAGTTTTGTGTTTTATTATTTGTCTTTTTTAGGAGGAACACATCTGTTACGAATCTATTAATCTGGTATTTTCAGCGAAAACTTTGTAAAACACGTCAACGACTTGGTACATTCGCTTCCTCCTGACATGTGGAATGAAGGGCGTAATCATATCATATTTAATTTGTACCATGGAACGTTCCCTGATTATTCAGACCACGATCTTGGATTTGATGTTGGTTATGCAATGATTGCAAGAGCAAGTGCAAATGCACAGGTATTTTACTAAATTGTCAGCTACATCTTAGTTTATTGCATGGTCGATCTGTGCCTTGATTTCTAGGCCGTTTTTGACTCAGTGGTTTACAACCTATTTTTCAGATGTTTAGGCGCGATTTTGACCTTTCGTTTCCCTTATTTCACAAGGAGCACCCGTTACGAACTTCAGTTGAAGTAAGCTGATCTTCTTAATCCCTGACTTTTCCAGTATACCCTTCATATTTTTCCGAAGCAGTTAGATCTCATAAGTCTATGTTCGAGTAATTTACAGTCTGTATGGCCTCTTAAATTGGAAGATCGGCACCTTGTTACTTTTAAAGGCAAAAGATACGTTTATGGCATTGGTTCAGAAACTCGGGATTCGCTTTACCACCTTCATAATGGCAGATCCTCAGTTATGGTGACTACGTGTAAGCATAATACTGACTGGAAAAAGTATGAAGATCAAAGGTGTGAACAAGACAACATCGAGTTCGAAAAGTATACTTTATCTAATAGCTCTTGGCTGATTTGATTGGTTTCTGCTTTGGCCTGATATTTTGGAGTTTTTAATTACAGTTTTCTCAGCTGTCATTTTTTGTAGCTGTTAGGGTTACTTATATTTTGTTTGAACATGATGATGAAACGTTCAGTTGGGACTATGAAGGAATCATGTCAAATTCAACGTTTTGTTTAACGCCACGAGGGCGTAGACTTGGGTCTTTTCGTTTTTTGGAATCACTGAAGTTGGGATGTATTCCTGTGGTACTGTCAGACGATTGGGTTCTTCCATTTTCTGAAGTAATCGACTGGTCGCAGGCTGCTATAATTGCTCATGAAGACTCAGTGCTGACCGTAATTTTTAAAGATAGTGCTGATTTTCTTAATCGAAACTGAAGTATTTGTTGCTGAGTAGTAAATCATGCGCAGTGTTTAATTTATTATTTTTTTTGTAAACTCACTAAATTACTTTGCTTTAGAAACGGTATTTCAGATTACTGATATTTTAAATGCTATCCCAATGCAAAGAGTATTACACATGAAACAGCAGGCAAGAGGTTTATATCAGCGGTATTTAAGCAGTGTTGAGAAAATTGTGACTACATCTATAAAAGTATTTTTTTTTTTTTTTTTTTTTTTT